ATAGGTGAAGCAATTGAGACTCTCGGAGGAAAATGAATGTCTATAGCTAAATCAAATAACTTAAGACATATACTTGGAATCTATGATGTGTAAAAAACAAAAATAAAGAACATTGGTTCCTCCCTTTGGCAGCCTACAGTCCTTTTGAGAAAGAAGGTACACACACAAAGCAAGTATTGAAATGGTACACGCAGACACACACAGAAGTAAGCCACCAGTATGCAGCACAGATAGGAGGGACAGAGGAGAGCTGAGGGCAGGGGTGGGGCTCCCTTGTTTCTACATCCCAGGGCCAACCACTGTCCTGACACATCATGAGTGATTGTTCAAAATCTAGTTAATTCATTGAGTGACTAATAAGTGTCAGGCTTTATATTATGTTTTGGAAACACATAGACATGTAAAATAGAATCTCTATCCTCAAGAAGCTTAGATAGGTGGGAATGGCTTAGAAATTGTCCAGAGATGAACCTTGAGGAAGGGAGAAGCTGCAGGCAGGGTAAACAAAGTACTCAGGATGGAACAAAGGTTTAAATGCCAGAAAGAAATAACACTATGGATGTTGAGGGATGGGAACACTGAGCAGATTACATGCCCGAAGCATAGAATATATGTGAGAAGAAGTGAGAGAAAAGCCCGATGAATTAAAGAAAGCCCATTTACTTACTTGGAAGGTTAATATGTGGAAGAACCACCTAACTCTGTTATAACTCTGAGAATGGCTCTCATAGAAGGTATTTATGCTGCTGATAATTTGAATAATGGAACTAAACTTGTTAGCTCACAGCAGTACAATTTATTATCAGAATCATTAAAGGATGATTCCACTACGTACCATTCCCTCTGATTACCATAATTTCCTCCAGCCATTTCTATTACCAATATAGGCCTTCATGAACTGCATAAAATTTACAATACATCAGACACTGGGGAAAACAAGTGAGCTTTACTAGGCATTTTTTAGGTTTTCCTAATAGCACTGACTGAGAATGACAGATATTTTAGACAACAGTGGTGCTATGAATTCAAACGCCATGGTGAACGCTGCTTTGAGGAGGCAAAAGAGGTTATTAAAGAACACTTAGGTGGGTGGGAAAAAGCCTGGAGAAAATGTCCTTCTCAGGCCTGAGGGAAAGAGCTAATGGATAATATAGGGGCAGCTACATCCGGGGTAATTTTCTTTATGATGAAAATGTTTTAATGACTATAATTTTATTCTCGTTGCAGATAGAAGTCTTTTATATTATGATGAAATGTGTTCAAGATAGAACATTTTGTGTTATATATGGAATAAATAAGAATAAACACTTTGGGGAAAACATGGTAATATTCTTCCCCATGGGTAGTTCTATTTTCACAAAATGAGAAATACATGTTATAAGATGACCCTAAGAATTCTATATAGAACTAAAAAATTGTCTAAGTAGAAACCCAGCCAGATCTTTTCAAAGCCTTTAAACCATCTTTATGTTATGCTGGAGTAGTTAAAATAGGGTTTGGAGTCCAGTAAATCTGCATTCAAATTCCAACCTTTCTACTGGCTATCTAGGTGACCATGGATACTTTGCCTAACCTCTCTGAACCTTCAGGTGCTTTTACTGTACGATCACAATGAGATACCTTACCACACACAGGTTGTCATAAGGGTGAAATAAAATGAACAAGAGGATCTATATAAATTGTTTAGCTCAACAGAAGTGTGTGATATTGTTAGTAAGCATTTATTATTGGATGGAAATTGTATTGCATTGTTTCTTGTATGGAAATATGCTGGATTTAATTAGAAAACCAATGTTTGGGTTCCAGATCAGCAACACAAGGGTCCCTGTTTCCTTACCTACAAATGGCACTGCTATGAGAACAAAAACACCTGTTTTGCTCTAAACTGTTACACTACATAACATGTATTTTTTCCTATGGGGTAGAGACTCAAAGGAAGAAACTCAGGTGGTATGCTGTTTGCCTCCATTTAATGCACATAAATATACTACTATTAATTCTAGAAACCCAAAGAAAAATAAGATTTTTGTATAAGCATAAAATATATATTCAATAATTGTGACCCATTGTGAATCTGACTCCTGAAAATTATCATACCATGAATATCTGACTATTTTGAAGGTAAATCTTTGCAAACATGTAGTAGTATATAATCTACTCAAATTTAAAGCATGACCTTCTACTAAAAATATGAATGCATTTGGACTCTTTCCACTAGTAAATCATGCAGTGGAGCCATGAGCATGTTAACAATAGGCTCCTACAAATATTAAAATGAGAGCGGCCAGACCTTTTGAAAATAATCACAAAACTGAGACACAGTAAGGAAAAAGCAAAATTCTCTAAATGGTCAGGTGATGCCTAATTGATTGTGAAAAAATGTTTAAAAATAATGTGTTTTTTTTTTCTTTTTCTTTTTTTGTGTGTATATGTGTGTGTGTGTGTGTGTGGTGCTGGGGATGAACAGGGATGCCAGGGCCTTGCTTGCGAGGCAAGCACTCTACCAACTGAGGTATATTCCCAGCCCAGAATGTTACACTTTGCATTTGAATTATAAGAATTCTGGAGATTCTAAGGTGACAAATAGTATTTATACAAGAGATTACTGAAGGCTGTCCAGAGCTTGGGGAAGGATGAATCTGTAGTACTAATTGTCACCAACATAAACCCCTCCCTCATCCCATGAAAGAAACCAGGTAAAAATGACCTTTCTTCAACATGCAGGAGAGAAGAGATGAAACTAAAATCTTCTCCTTCCTCTCTAGGTTTGATATCTTGTGATTTCAAGAGCAAAAATTTGGGATAGAGGAATGGTAGTTTCAGAAAAGTCCTAGGAGAAAAACTGAGGAAGACTGAAACAGATCTTATCTGCTCAGGGTCAGCCTATTTAACATCCCCTGGTGATTTCCTTGTTCTCCTTCTTCCTCAGCCTGGAATTCAAGGGTATGAACAATGTCATGGAGATGGGGTAGAAAGAGGGCTTAGACCGAGATTGCTATTGCTAATACTATGCATTTAAACACTATTAAGACAATTGGTTAGAAAAAAAGTGGACAACTACTGTAGAACAGGGATTGCACTAGTCTTGTGATTTGAAAGCCAAATGCTGTGCCTGCTACTCAGCTTCAGCTATTCACACAGTTGTGTATGTGCATGAGAGAGGATAGGACACAATGGGAAAGGATGTAAGTTTTCTGCTCAGTTGTTAGCTAACATTTTCCACTGTTTCTTTTTACCTATCATAATTATACCTTATATATTTCAGTGCACAGCCCCTTCAAAAATGGCAAAGCACATACTATATCCTGAAAAGGGGCAATTCCTAAGACAAATAAGATGGGGAGAAAAGATTTTGCTGGAAAGAACAACTTAGCTAACCTCTGAGACAACATGACAGTGTTTTATTTTTTTTTTAACAGCAGTTCAAAGATCTGCTTAGTCTCTGTGACTTTCGACATTGAGGATGAATATAGAAATATTTACAAGAGAGACTGACTTGGTTTTTATGTGGAAAAAAATACAACAGAATACAGCAAAAAGGATGAAGGCAAGTAGAAATACTGGTCTCTATGACTTGGAATAAATAAACTCAGTTCTTTAGGAAGAAAGAAGGGAAGGAGGGAGGGAGGAAGAAAAGTAGGAGGGAGGGAGGAAGGAAGGAAAGAAGGGAGGGTGGGAGGGAGGGAAGAGAAAATTTCTTCCCCAATTGGGAAATGGAAAGGACAAATAAGCTCTCAACTTCTTAAGTTGTAAACAGTGTGGGTGTGAACAGGCAGTAAAGAACAACTAGACCCTGTGAAGTTTCAACAAGAGGAGTGGGTGTGTACAAAATAATAAAAATGCAAGTTACAGACATAAAAATAGAGAGGAATGTGTATCCATAGGAAATAGACCATGCAACAAAGAGGAGGCTAAGCTGCAATCGTGTGCAGAGCCATCAAAACCAAACAAGCTATATAATAAAAACGAAATGTCACCTGAGTGTTCTAAAACATTTGTGTGGAAAAAAAATATCCACAGTCAAGGATGTAAAAAAAGTATATCCTACCAACCAAATTCTCTCAACCAAGAGGTAATCAGGTGGATCCTTGAGAATTGAGGGGCTCCTGCCCTGCTGGGATTGAGGTGCAAAAGGGCAGAAAGCTTTTCCAAAGGAAACTCTATACCTATGTGTTGAATGGAAAAACTGGCTCTAGGCTTAGGAGAAGGAAGCCTTCAAAGTTCACAGGTGGGGTCTTGATTCTGGAGACTTTGAACATGACTGCCTTTTGCCTATGGAAAATATCCACTTCTCACTTCTCTGTCTGGCTTTTCTTGGCTCAATCCTTGTCTGGTCTCCAGCTATTTGGTTAATGTTTGATTTACTGTGTTTACTAGCACAGAGTATGGAGTGCTTTGGTACAAGATGTTATTTAGACTGTTTGCTCATAAATAGTTTTAAAAAATATCAAATGAGATTGTATTTGCAATACTTTGGCAATTAATTATATGTAAATAAAAATTGAAAACTGATACTTAAAAGCATAAGTTTATATTAAGAGTCAAAAGGATGATGTGTTTCACAGGAAGAAGTCATATCAGGTACATCTGGATTAGAGATGACAAAGACGAGTGACAGGTAGGAGAGGCAATCCTGATATGACTCAGCAGATACAAACAGCTCTGTGCCAAAAGAAAGAAAAAGAATAAAGATGTTTTCAAGACAAAGATGAATCTTTTAGAATTATATAGATGACACAATGCTTTCCATTGTTTATATACAATTTGTATTACACAGAAAAAGGTAAATGAAAATATTTGAGGTTGAAGCAATAGAAAATATTGTGTTAAATGAACACCAAGGATTCGGTCAATTCTATGATCCAGTGAATGTATCAATACCCCCAAAATAAGAATAATTATTTTGAAGAAATAAAAGGAACCATTACAAGTAGCAAATTTGTTCTTTTACTGTTTGATCAGGTTTACTTTCTGGTACACATTTACAAAAAGTTTCTTACCTGGGCTGACTGTTTACTGTTTCATGTTTTCCATTGAAGTTCAAACTGTAGAGATTTTTCAATTTTGAATGTGAAGAGTCTGCTTCCAAATGTGCCTGTGTTTGTTCTCTCAGACGATCATGAAGCATTGCCTCCTTTTTCAAGTTCATGTCCGAATAAGGGCAGCCAAAAGCACTGGTTTGTATAAAAATGAAAGCACAGTTGTCAGTTTATAGTGATAAATCAGCCATCCATTGTCATTGGAACAGACTCACATTTAATATTTAAAAACTGAATAGAGACAGTCTTTTCTCATTGAGCACACTCAAAAGCAGTTTCTTTCATGCTGCTTTTTGAGAAAATCTCACATTCTAAAGTACAGACACTGGTCAGTAAATATTAAAGGTAGATTTATCAGCACATATGGCATTTACAATTTTGGAAATGGAAAAATCTAAGAATAGCATACAGATGTGCTTTGAATGGAGCTGTGGAAATGTCATATGACACATGGCTCAGTTTGTATTCTCTAGTATTTATGCCCTGGCTTGACTACCTGCATCACCAAATGCTCTGCATAACTAAAAACATTTACCAGTGTCAGACTTTCATTTCTTTATATTCATGTATCCAGAAACATTGTCTCTGTGTTTCTGCTTAGCCCTCCTATAACTTACTGCAGGGTGTTTGTATTAGAATGTGCAGGAACACCTCATAGGTGAACTAGGAGAGTCCCATCAGATCGCTGGAATTTTTTGTCCCTTTAAATGTCAAGACTGAATCCTGGACGCTTTTGGAATCTAACAGCGGGTCACAGGCAAAAGGCTCTGCCAGGACAAATGATCCGGTCTCTTCCACAGGCTGATAAGCTGTCTCCTTTATAACTGCATTCCCCTGTTCCTGTCTCCAGGACGGGGGCAAATCTTTGGGGCTGCTAGGAAAGAGCAGCCACTGCCAGGGAAAGTACAGACATGACAAGTCACCTGGGTACTCCTCTGGGGAGGGCACTCCTTGCTCTTGCTTCAGAGTTGCTACTTAGTGAAGTGGGAAAAGCAGATCCAACTCAGAAAAACTGCCATGACCATGAGAAATCACAAGACAGATGGACACACATCCAATATGTGTAGCTGCTATCACCACCACAGCATCATTACCCACTGCATCAAGAGGCACATGTGGCCAAACACAGCAACATCAAGGGAGCTGATGTTTTGGGAACTGACTTCCTATTCACTGTAAATTTGCTGATACACAGTACACAATAAATTCTTTATGAATATATGAACGTTTTCTTTTGTTATTTTAAGGTCATAATAAAATATTATGGACAAAACAAATGTTCGTCTATTTTAAGGTAGACTGAGTTTTCCAAGGAGCAATCTAACTTCAGAAAGACTTCACTGCCACTTATAACTGGAATGGATCTCTGGAATTGGGATGGATGGTTATGATGACATCAGCCTGACCCAACATGACACAGTGGCTGTACTGGAATTATGACTGAGTATCAAACTTTGCTACAGACATGAGGGCCCCTTTTCATGCATGTTCTATAAATGATAATAATTGGTATTGATCTACTGACTTATTCATCTGTTTGGTTATCAATTAAAAATCTGCTAACTGAGCACTTACTGTATGCTAGGCACTTCATATATATATGAATATATATATATATATATGTATATATATATATTGCTATATATATATTGGTATATATATCAATAAATACAATTTATAATAAAAATAAAAAGCTACTTTTATTGAGTGTATAGTATCATCACAATATAAGATTTTATATCTATCATTTCTAATTACATATAGCTAATTACTTAAGGATAGTATTAACACATTCATTTTGTGGTAAGAAAAAAGGTTTACACAGTGTAACCAACTTTCCCAAAGCCTTTTAAGACTTTCTTGGGAAGCCCTGAAATAGATGGCTTAATTATTGTCACCAGTTCAGTGGGCAGAGGTGGGAAAAAGATTTTAACACCATCAACAAAAGGAACATGAAGGAAACCTTGCATAATTCTTGTATAAAAAGAACCAGAGGCCTATATTCAAAGGCTAACATAGCACTGGGTGTGCCATGGTTTAATGGCTGAGGACAAACATCAGCATATGCAAGAGTCCTGAGATAAAGTGCTGCTTCTGGTACAACAGAGTAGGGTCATTTAAGATGCACCATATGAGATTTAAGAAAGAATTTTCTGCAGAGAAAAATTGAAAAATCATTATACTAAAGAGATTGAGAAATGGTTCTTCTTTTTTTCCCCCAGTACAACTGTGTTTTCATTAAGATACTGTTACTTTCCAGATATGGTGGTGCATGCCTGTAATTCCAGTGGCTCAGGAGACTGAGGCAGGAGGATCATGAGTTCAAAGCCAGCCTGGGCAAAAGCGGGGCAGTAAGCAACTCAATGAGACCCTGTCTCTAAATAAAATATAAAATAGGGCTGGAAATGTGGCTCAATGGTCAAATGCCCCCTGGCACACCCCACCAAAAAGATATTATTACTCAGAAGGTTTGTTGTCCATCTAATGCATACTCTCAATTTGAGATTTTTAAATGATCATATGGTGGTGCGTTTTCTTTTTCTTAACTTCACATCATCACCCCAACTCATGCTGCACAGCATTTAATAAATAATCCTCAAGGTTTATTTACATGTCCAGCACTTGGATATTCTCTAGCTCAGTAGCTGTTTGTGTTGAAATTTTGTTCTCCTAGATCTTCATTCATAACCAGGCCCTCTAGCCATTTAATCATTAGCCTATATCCTAACTGCATTCTAGCCCCTCTTTGTCTCTTTGGCAATTATGGATGCAAAACCAAACAGACGTCCTGAAACATCACTAGAATAGAATAGTTCCTGACTCTACGAGGCAAGGCACGTAAGGACATGGCTCCAGATTATACAGAGCAGAAGTGAGTGTGAAGTTCAAAAGAATATATTAAATGACAAAAATCACTGTGCAGAAGAGGTGGGCCACAAATTTTGGGGAAGATGAAAGAAAGTACAAAAGAAGAGGGTAGGAGGGGCTTTCAGATACAATTTCTGCAGCATTCTGAGCTTGGAACATGGCTCTGAGACTCTGCTGTGAGCCAGTTTCTATATTGCCACCCTGTGCTTATTTGTGTTCTTTGTAGACAGACAGTTATGTCCAAGAGATGGCATCCTAATGTTGGCCTGCCTTCTTGTAAACTCACACCTTTACTCATGCATAGGTATATGCATGTATATGTTTCAGAACGCCCATGATTCTGTATGAACCTACTCACATAGGGAAAGAAAGGACTGACGTGGAGGTTTAAAATACAATAAAGCATTTTAAACTTACTTTTGAAGCTCTGGATTTAGCCAAATGTTGGGGAAATATGGTTCTGGAAGACATACTCTCTTTACAAAATTTCTGACATAAGTTGGAATTCATGACTTAAAGCCCTGTTGGTTAAGGTAAATGTCAGTTTCTGATTGACAGGGAAGTACTACATTCAGATTTCAGATCATTATGGATGGATATAAGGAAGCTTAAATGCTGCAGGCTAGAGGGGAGTGCTGCATGGCAGAGTCTCTGCTGGATGCTTGGGTCTTTTCACTGAACAGCCCATCTTCATCCCTTATTTTTTAATATTTATTTTTTAGTTGTAGTTGGACACAATACCTTTATTTTGACCTATATGAAACTGCAGTTTTTAAACAGTTGAATATCAGGAGTTTCCTGTGGATCAACCAAACACTACCACAAATGTCAGCCCTAACCTCATCAATAGTCAAGCAGATGAATAGAGGTATATGTGAAATAAGAAAAAAAGATGCTAGACAGTTGCAGATAAGCTTTCAAAAGAGAATTTTTTTGATAGATCCTACGAGTCTTCTTATCTCCTGTTAGAAGGAAACAATTTAAAACACTAGTAATAATTTACAATGTTAATATCATAAAAATGATTGTTAATAACTATAATAAAACAGTGATAGTGTTTCTAGAATGTTTAAGTATAATTTCCAATAGCAGATGATAAATGGAAAAGTGAGCTGTTCCCAAATGTTCTGAGTTTCAATGAGGTCAGGATGTGGAAGACAGCCACATCCAGCAGCAGAGGCTGAGCCCATGTACTGGGTGCCAGGTCCAGGACCCCTCAGCCTGTGAATCCACCTTCCTTCCTTCACAGCAGGGCTATCTGAACCTGGGGTTAATGGGGCTTGCCATATTCCCAGAACCCATCCTGATCTGAGGCCAGAACTAAGCCCAGCTCTCTGTCCTCAAGGGCACAGGTGCCAGCAGTAGCAACAGCAGGAGCAGCAGCAGCAACAGCAGCAGTTCTGACCCCCTGAACACTGTGCAGGGCCTTGCTCAGAGTCCCTACCAATCTTGAGCACTCTGGGTCTTGGTCCTTGCTCCTAAATGCCTTCTTTGTTATTAGGACTAGAATTCAGGTGCCACACTGGTATAGAATCCTATGGTTCTATTTTTTTCTTGTCACCCCCTTCCCATTACATAAGCTCCTTCCTTCCAATCCCAACCTAGGAAGCACTACTCCATCTCACATATACTGCCTGGCCAATCTCCTATGTGCTCCTCACTAAGAATTACTCCCTATGATGAGCTTCTCCAACTAATTGGAATCCCAATCTTTGTCTTGGATTTTTCCCATATGGGGCCCAATTCTCACATCCTAGATGCTGATAACAGACTGATAAAACCCCTTAACACCAGGTTATGCTCATCCAACGACATTTTCATTTTATATCAAAAATGTTTCAGTTTTTCCTACCTAAGCAGCAAATTTGATTCCTGTTTCTCAGACTAGCCTGCTCTTTTGAAAAAAATGGGCCATGCTCTGTGAAATCCTAGAGCAAGGAGTCTGGACTATGAAGTTACAACTACATTACCACAACTTACCTAATGGTAGCCTCCCAAAGCAAGTGCAACTATAGCCTCAGGGTGGCTGGGATGGGATTTGTGCACCAGAATCCTAGGCCAGTCCCTTCCTGCCTTGAGAAACCTCTAGGCCTAAGTCCCCTCTCATTCTCAAATGCTGATTCTCACTTTCTATGACGTAGCATTAAAAAGGTGGGGAGCACTACAAATGTAAGCAAAATGGCAAAGACAGATCAGCCTCTTGAGTGCTGTATTTCAGAACATAAATAAAAAACCCAGAAGTCAGCAGTATCTCAGGAAGTGTCAAG